AGGCATGCTGTGGCACTGGTACTAGAGTCGGCACAGCGTGTGTTAGCTAGAGTTTACATGCATTGTAGGCATGGCTGGGTACATACTAGTTAGTTAGTATACATGTGAAATACTAGTACACTACAATGATGTTCGTGTTGCTGAGATGTTCTACTGGTACCGTATGTAGCAAACTCATGAATGTGGTGATAAGGCAACTACACGATGGCCCATCATCCTGACACCGCTACTCGTGTGAAGCCAATATCATGGTGTACATGCACCGTATAACTTGCTGCCGGCTTTGATTATTGGCAGTAATAGTGAATCCCCCACCCCCTTGCTGCGGTCAAACAGACAGTTTACTCCGTGCTAATCATGCAAGCTATATAACTTCTGAGGTGGGCATTGAAGCTGAGGGGGGGCATTGTACAGTAGTTGAGGGGGAGCGTAGTAGCTGAGGGGAAGCATAGTAGCTGAGGGTGTGAATAGTGATTATATTATGTACGTAATACCCTGGACGATCTCTCTGGCTTTAATTAGTCACAGTAATAGTGAATCCCCCATCTCCCCTGCTGCCCCCTCAACTACTGTACTATGATCCCCCTCAGCTTCAATGCCCCCCTCAGAAGTTATATAGCTTGCATAGCTATATAACTTCTGAGTAGCTGAGGCGAAGCATAGTAGCTGAGGGTGTGACTAGTGATTATACGTAATACCCTGGACGATCTCAGTCACCAGCAAGCGAACGACTCCCCCTCATACGTCTCAATCCCCACAGTGTGTGAAGCGACTTGGTGACCGAAGGTCTACTTAATCTGAAACTACGGTAGTTTTTACCTACGTTTTTCTGCTGTATACAGTCACAGACATCAATGAGTCCAAGTAGGAACAGTGTTTTGCTGCTACAGTACTAGTTATTGTAGAGGGCTGCCACGTTAGCGAAGTTAAGATTGCTGCTTGATGTATGGTACGGGTAGCAAAAGGAGTTTGATTTCAAGAAAAAGGAAATTCTACGAGCAACCTTTGCCACTCCAAGCATAGCTTCTC